CCCCCAGATTTATATCGGTCCCTCTCACACATCGGCCGCTATTTTTAGCAGCCGGCTACTACTGCTATTTTTAACATTATTTTCTCGCCTTCTTAACCGGAAGTATTTCAACATTTCTTTCCAGTAATTAACGGAGAGAAAGCAGCCTTTAACACACCAACTTTTTCGAAAAAGAGGGAACGTACCTTGGATATGCTTATCAAAGACTTGTACTCGGAGCATATGGCTGACTCTGGAAGTAGAGTGGTAAGTTACACCCGCCAAAAATACACCCTGATACTGTCCATGATTTCGATTTCTCAACCCTGCGAAAAATGAAGTGACACCTAACTTTCTTCTTCTTCTTTAATAAATTTCCTGATGGCTGTAGATATATCTTACTATGAGCATGTACGCTTTTCACTTATCTCAATTGAGGGGCTTGGAGGATACGGCGCATACGTGCAGTTTTTGCTATTTCGAGAAATACTTGTTTGAAGTTTCGAAATTACATGGATCCATACGGCGAATGGCGGACAGAAAGTTCATACTGACTTTTTAATGCTTAAAAATAGGAATTTTGGAGCGAAGGGAATAGGAATTATTCACATAAAATGCTTCAAGACTGGTTTTCCGTGAAATCATTGATATTTCAGTTGTTTCAAGAACTGCACTCATGCGCCTTGTCCTCCAAGCCCGTCAAATGAGGAATAGCCAATCAACGGAAGACATCGAATCGATTAAAACAGAGGTAGCTTTATACCGAATGGCTTAACCGTCTCGCGGGTCATTCGCATGCCACCTCAAAAAAATGACCCATCTTGTTAATTCTCCTATTTAACCAACGCCTCTGTGTGGAAGGATGGGTACGCGAAATTCAGTGGACCATTGCTCAGACAAATATACAGAATACCTGGTGAGGACATGAAAGTCATGCATTGGCTACCTTCAAAAAGAAAGTCTTCAAAGATACTGCATGAGTCTGAAGCAGTACCTACATTTTTACATTTTATACATCAGCATTGATACCCTCTTTTTCCCCTGATTCGCGTTTTTGGATACTCACCAAAATAACACCCAAGCATGTCTCCAAAATCTCACCGTGTCGCGCCACATTTTGAGTGCGTAGCCAGAGTCTCAAAGTATAAGAGAATATTGATGCCGTTGAGAGAGGGGGCTGATGAAATGGACAACATTTTGCAATTAGGGACTATAAATTCTAGCCCGGTTTAAAAACAACATATGTGCCATTAGTTTCCCTATGCACATAAGTGTTTTTTCAGGTGAGCCTGAATTTATAGTTCCAAATTGCAAAATGCAGTCCAAATGTAGTATAAATTGGACTGCATTTTGCAATTTGGACCTATAAAGTCCGGCCCGGTTTAAAAACAACGTATGTGCCATTAGTTTCCCTATGCACATAAGTGTTTTTTTAGATGAGCCAGAATGTATAGGTCCAAATTGCAAAATGCAGTCCAATTCTGGTTCCAGGTGAAGTAAAGTGGGTCCACCGCAGTTCCGTCATTTGGACTGCATTTTGCAATTTGGACCTATAAAGTCCGGCCCGGTTTAAAAATAACGATGAGCCATTAGTTTTCCTATGCACATAAGTGTTTTTTCAGACGAGCCAGAATTTATAGGTCCAAATTGCAAAATGCAGTCCAATTCTGGTTCCAGGTGAAGTAAAGTGGGTCCACCGCGTGGTCTTATTAAATTTTAATAAGACGCGGTGGTGTTTGCGCTAGAGACACCGATTGGGGTCTGTTTTTGGCTTCGTTGCCAATTGTGAGAGAAACTTAAGTAGGTACACTGTGTTAGGGTCTAAGTGGATGAGATACACCGCAGGGAAAGTTTTACTTTAGTACTTTCAAGATACTGTAGGTTACCCTCTGTAACTGCTTTGCGGTTAAAGCCACCGGTGCTTATGTATCTTGATACAGGGTTGCACGAGTGAAGTTGAAAATATGAAAGATAGGTTTCCGTAAAATATTACATGAAATTTCACAAAATATTGAGAAATATGAAACACAATTTCAGGGGCTGGGCATATGCAACACGTACTAAGAACACCAAATAGTAAAAACCATCCGTCTTTCATTTAAGGTTATGCACTTACTTTTGAAAAATACGTTTCAATATCTTTCTTTTTTCCTAAAATTTCCTGAAACATTTCACATGAAATTTTATGATTTTATTTTTGTTGAAATATTCCAACACTTTGCCTAAGAACATTTATCCCCCACGCCTTTTCACGTAGATCACACTTTGAATTTGAGCTCATTTTCTCTTTCGGATTCCAATAATTCCAACCTCCACCAGCCCTCGATCTTAGCTCCGCATCAAAGCAACCATAATCCTCAGCATATCGATGGTGAAAGTGCAGAAGTGCGTATCTCGGAAAACACGATTTTTCAGGAGAGTAAAAAAACTGTCTACATTCCTCCTTATTGTCAGTAGAAGGGTAATAATTCTTGAGGATAGCAAGAATAAGATGCTTTTTCAGACTTCATCAATATTTTGAATAATTTCTCACGCTGTTAGAAAATACGGCCGAAATGCCGAGATTCGCGTTTTCGGCACTAAGAATTGACACTTTATCACGAGGTACGCATTTCTGCAATTAGTGTTTTGAACCTATTGTTGGCGGATTTTGATCATTTAAAAACTGAAAAAAGGGTTTCATGCTTACAATTCTTTATCAGAAGCTTTAGTTTGACCTCATACGGCTGGATCAAGCATTGTATGATTGGAAACTGACGTTAGATTACGAGATACGCATTTCTGCAATTAGCGTTTGAAGCTACTCTTGATCATTAAGATCAAAAATAGAATTTATGCAACCTTAAAACTTATTTAGAAGCTTTAGTCGATCCAATACACTAAATGAAGCATTGTTTGACCGGATTGACTCTAATAAAACTGACCGTTGTGATGAACCGTCAGTTCAATCAGTTCATGATTGCATTGGCCCAGAGAGTAAAAATGGACATGAACGCCGCGCGCTGCTAGTAGGTAGTAGATACCTATGAGGAAATGATACTGGAGGGCCCTCGAGTGATAATCCGCCTTCAATTACAAGCGTATGCAACATTAATGACAAGTAACAGTACCTAATCACCCCCTTCCCTCGTCTATCGGCCTATCACCAGCATTCATTGATATTATGCATTCTGGACTGCCTGATTATCCACATTTATCCACATCAACTTTTCTTTTAGATAGATAAATGAAAACCATTGAAAACAAACACAGAACAGCTGATCAGCTGATGTGCGGTGTTGGCGGGAAACGCTGCTGAGGAGCGAGCGTTGTGATTGGTTGTGCGTAAGGCGCGCCGAAAAATGAACAGGCCTGAACGAGATACGCATTCCTGCACTCAAGCCCAAGATACGCGAAAAAAGTTCTACGGTTTTAGGTGACATCCCGATTTTTTCGATTATAATCTCTTGCTGGCTGATAGACGACATCTTCAATTACACGTTCATGCAGCTAACTCAAAACTGTCAAAAATCGAGATACGCACTTCTGCACTTTCACCATCGATATGAAAAAATTAGTGTATCTTATGAGCGCAACAGACCCATTCGCGTATTCTTCAAGATGGGTCACAGAAGGTACTTCGCAACAGAATCGTTCAACTAGCTTTCTTTTTGACTTGATATTCCAATCGTTACTTCACCTCGTAAATATTTAATCAAATGTGCAAAGCCCTCCAGCTGCCTCTCACCATGTTCCGCCTTTCCTTGATTGTAACGGGACTTGGGCTCTTGGCACTAGTCCCCCTTCGGATGCGTGTGAGGAATTTAAATCCCCTCTGACGCCTGATTTTTGTACTGCCTTGTTTTCTGTCACGAGTGATGCCATTTCCATTTAAATGATGAATCCAAACGGTACTGCCATCATACTTTTTGGGTGCCTATTTTTTTTTTTTTTTTTTTTTTTTTTTTTTTTTTTTTTTTGGGGTAATTAGTGACACTTTTTTTGGATCGGGCCGAAATTTTGTACAAAAATCATATTTTTGTCTTTTTGGAAGGTAAAGGTGTCATCAAGTTGGCACTCGTTTACATTCCGTTTGCAAGCGACCGCGATGTCGTCCAATAGCGATCGAGGATTGACCGCGGCCCGATCGTGCACACAGTCAATCCTCGATCCTTATTGGACGATTGCATCGCGGTCGCTTGCCAAAGGAATGTAGAAAAGCTTTTGAAGCATCTAATACGAAATTTAGGCCAATAATTGTGACATGAATAATAACCAAATGAAAGCGTCTTTCCTCCTATCCTCTGCTTCAAAAATTAAAAAATTATCTGAGGAAGGCTTTCGGACTCCCCTTATTTCCCTCTCTTTGATTGTTTTTGAATTTTTGAAGCAATTTTTATGCAATTTAGATCAATTTTGGCATGAATAATTACCAAATGTAAGCGTTTTTCCTTCCTCTTTCCTCTGTTCCTTTCTTCTTTCTCCCTTATCTTTATCTTCCTCCTTTTTGGAGCGAAAGGGGGGAGGGCGAGCCTAAGCTAACCCCCTGGATCCTCCTGTAGGTCATGGATGGTTAATGTGGGTGATGTTTCAGACGATGCTGAACCGGCGGGCATTCAGCGACGTGTTGCCGGACCCGCCGAAGACGTCGCGGCGGAAGGAGGAGGCGCGGCAGGTGGAGTTCGTGCGGATCGGGCAGGCGCTCAAGCTGGACACGATCGTGAAGGGGGACGCCCCGACGAGCCTGGCCACGACGGGCCTCTTCAAGCGCGCCCCGTGGGAGCCCCACTGCTTCTACCCCGACTTCGGGCACGAGATCGGCTGCGGCGACTCCTGGGCCGAGACCCGACTCATCGTCGGCACCGAGAACGGCGTCTTCCTCGTCGAAGGTATCCTAACCATAGAGTACCTACAGTCGCCATTTAAACTAGAGTCCCTGTATACCCAGAGTTAAGACAACTCACTTTTGGTTGGGCCAGGGTTGGGCTGAAAGTGGCCTAAAAAAAATCCAATTCTGATTGGTTCTCGCTCATGGAGGCCGAAACGAGTGCACCAAGATGGCGGTGCCTCGAATGTGAACAAGAATAATGAAAATATTACCTAATTATGGTTTTTCAAGAGTAAATTTTTATTTCCATCGGTCCAAAATGAAAATAGGTTAAGAAATTATTCACAAACCAATCTCATTTTCTTTTTAACTGATCAATTTGTTGATGTTGTTGTTTTTGTGTCACAGACATCGCAGGATTCCTGATCTTTATCCCTCAATATCGTTCGTTTGGGTGCACTCGTTTCGGCCTCCATGGCCAGCCAAGGCCGGCTGCCAGTCAGCTGATAATCGAGTTGTCTTAACTCTGGGTATAAAGGGACTCTAATTTAAACGGGAGAGTTGGCGCCATGTTCTGCTCGACGAGTGGAGAGCCCGGTGTGCGCCGAGCTCGGCTCACTTTTTCGATACATGTTTGATTCAAATGCCTGTGTGGACTACGAGGTAACGGAGATGTTGCATGTGTGAGGGATTTGCGATTTGACCATTGATTCTTCTGTAAAAGTTCGCGAGAAACACGATGGTGCCACTCGTTTCCTCTGAAATCATCTCCCAAGCTCAAAAAAAGCTCTCTAAGTGAGGCCAAAATGCAGGGGATATCCCGCCCTACCCTGAGAGTCCACCTCTACGTCAAAACAAACTCTCCGTGTAAAGATAGGGAGCAAATACATTAGCAGGGTTGCCGTGTTTCCAGTTTTGGAGTCCCCAAATGAAGTGGCAGCCCTGTCAATTTTTGAGCTTTGGAGTTGATTTCAGAGAAAACCAAGGGCACATTCGTGTCTTTTCGCTAAATTACTATCTTATCTCAATCTCTGATGATGTCCACTAAAAAAAACGCGTTTTCACGTGAAACTGTGGTTTTTATCACAAACAATGTGTGCACAACAATATGTGATAATGTGTACGCTGGAAAATATTCACTTAATATGATTATGGAGAGAGTTGTTTCCGAAGAGTGGAGAAACATTTGGACGCTTTTCTTTCAAACGGAACCATGTGCATTAAGACATGAGCCCTGAGACTCATAAGACTATATGCATAACAAGGCTCACGCAATAATGCACATAGTTCCGTTTGAAAGAAATACGTCCATTTATCACCAGTCACAGAAACCCGTGCTTGCTTCTGATTGGTGCCGGCTGATATCATGCTATCCGGCGCGTTTTAAATTTACGGAAAAAATACTCATTTTGAACTTCGTATTCCTCGATTTCAGAGTTACTATCTCACGTTCTTATCACGCATACTGTGTTTTACGCGTCATTTCTCGTAAAAGAAGTAGATTTCTAAGCTAGAATTCACTCAATGTTGACCTCAGTAGTCCATTCATTATACAACTAAAAATCCCATTCCGGTCGTCTTGGATGGGCAGTTATATCAAAAATCAAGATACAGGACACAAAAAACGAAGGCAGAGAATTATAGGTATTTTCGAAACATCGATCTGCGATGGAAAATAAAGCGATGGAGAAGAAATGGTCCCCGTGCAGCGCCTACCACCCATCACGATAGGGTTTCACCCCCCCCCCCTCAAGCGGCGATAAACGAGTTCCATAAATCAAAGACGGTGTTTGTCATCGGATTCAAACAAATTCCAACGTGAGGCAATTGAAAGGGGATTTGCGAGACACTCGCGGCATCTGCCACAGGTTTCACGAGATTTTGAATAAAAACTGAGTAATGGCTCCGGCGGAAGGTCATCGTAAATGTGTTCCTAATGTGCTCCGTGAATCGGCAAACCGCGTGAGGAACGACTTTTGCACTCCTCGTAACGATAGCAACGCTATCTCGGCGTCGATCTTGAAAAAGCGGGTCATTACATCACTGACAGTTTTTCTGTCAAAGGACCGCAATGCTCAGCACAAGTTTTGACAAAAATAAGAACAAGCGATTGAATATTTCTCATCTATCTGAGTTTTTTCTAGCGTCCTGCCCATTAAAAAGTGTCATTGAGTCATTTTGTTTTTCTTCTTAGATGGAGTAACGCACAAGCAAATCTTCGACAAATCCCTGCAGGTGAAGCAATTGCATGTAGTGGAAGCCCACGGAATTCTCTTACTCCGGGCTGATAAAGGTAAATAAATGAATCTGATTGAAACTGCCCGAATTTTTACTTTTACTTTCTGTAAATTCGTTACTCAACTTCGACTGTAGTAACTATCCGAGAAAATTAGAAAGAAATGGTTATCAAATAGTGGAACAATAGCTTCAATGGCCCATTAGACAAGGATAATGTTTAAGCACTCTGATACATGTTCCTTTAGCAATACCTATTTCACTCAACACACGATTGCTGTGCCGAAAATCACCGAGCAGGTAAGGATGGGTTTACGTGGAGAGGGAAACGAAGAATCAGAGGGTGGGAGGTCCCCCAACCATATGTCTCGTCCAGCGGCAAAAACGCAAATATTTCATTATCAAATCGAGGTAAATTTTGCAACGTCAATCGCGCAAATCGAAAAATTAAGGGGTGCTGGCACGTCTACAGCCTAAGAGCTTTCATTTAAAACAGATCCGAGGAAAATCGGCCCAGTAGTTTCCGAGATCGAATTAGCACAAACTGTAGGAGGCCAAAAAAGGCCTTAGGATATTAAATATGTAGATTTATCATGGTCGATTTCCATGCTTCAGGTTTTAAATTATTTATAATGGACAGACAAAGAACGAAGTTAAGCAATCTGATACTTGTTTCTTATGTAAAATTTCACGGAAATTACGATTCGCACGCCAAAAAACACTGAAATCAACTCCTTCCCAAGATATTTAATGTTTCTTGACGCGTGAATTCAAACCTGCTCCCGCTCATGAAAACTCAATGGTCTACGAAAGTCAAATTGCACACTTAACGTTACTGTGGCAGTTTCCACAGTCCAAAAACATGGCAACCTCAATCTTGACGCTTTGGTTAAGCTATAGCATAAATAGCAAATTGTTTGCCATTTGAACAATAATACAGGGTGGGAAAGGAACAATGTTCGATTGAAGAAGCCCGCCGAAACCGTTTTAAGGCGCGATTTGACTCACTTAGAGTATTGCGTTTCTCATGACCGGGCAACTCAAAATCTCCCGTAATCTGTGTAAAGTAAAAACGTTAATATTTTAAAGAGGGGTTAATTTCAGAATTGTAAATGTTAGAATGGTGTTCTACGTGAAATTCTGGTTGAGGAAAATGAACCAGAATGCTTAAATTCGTACACTGTCGATCAAACCCACATCAATGGCATGATGAGAGGGAAAGAAGCGTTTATATCTATTGGAGGATGAGTGTGGCTGGTTTAATCATTATTTCAAACTTTTTTGAGATGAGCATGTCAGTATATTTAGTGAAGTTGTATTTTGACTTCCACAGGTAAAGATGGTAAAATTTACGTGTTCCGACTGTCTGATTTTGAGAGCGATAGCAACACGGAGCTAGTACCCAGGAGTAAGCAAGATGTAAAAGAGCATCGCTTGGAAAGGACGAGAGGCTGCCAGAGTTATGCCATCAGTAGGCCTGGAGGGTCTCACCTTCGAATGGTACGTTCATACTAAAATTATAATACTTTCAAAAAGCAGTACTTGGCTCAAAAGAGGGTAGAAATATTACCAAACTCCTTTTCTTAAATTTTACAGTTTTTTTTTTTTTTTTTTTTTTTTTTTTTTTTTTTTTTTTTTTTTTTTTGGCGCGTATGCGTAGAATACCGCCTTTGCGATCGTTTCGACCCCCCACTCGATACAATAACCGAGTCCCTTAGTTCCTTACCGAAAAGTGACTACCGCGAACTTCTGAGATTTTCCAAAGCGTCTAAAAAGTTTATTTATCTGTCAATAATTATGATTTAAAGTTGTTTCTCATTCTGGGGCTTTCTACATAGGCTGTCCCAAAAAGAAGTGGACTGATGCTGTAATTTCCGAACTGATCATCGCAGCGATCTTTTCTTGAGCGCGTTTTAAAGATCAACTCAATACCTATCGATTAAGACCAAGATCATCAAAATCGGTCAAAAATTGACCGAGTTATGACGTTTTCCGTGAGAGGAGTAACAATTCAGCCTACCGTTTTTTGAAGAAAAAATCATACCGAGAGTAACGCGTGTCAAGCTTCATCTCCACTGTAACTTCTCTCCCGTAATGTTTTCCTTCATCAGTGATACAATATGACTAAAAACCTGTTGGTAACAGTGTCTAGTCGGTGTCCGACTCATGCCGTAACCATAGCGACCACGGAGGACCGGGGAGACTCGCGCAGAATTCGGCGACAATTTCGCCTGCCAGCGACAGTTTTCGAGTGCGCGCGCTCAGTGCAGTGGCAATTTGTTAGTGCCGTTTTCATCGTTTTTTCGGGATTATGGAAAAGGACAGTGAAATTGTCTGTTCTTTCACAATTTCACTGTCCTTTTCCATAATTTCGAAAAAACGAATGAAAACGGCACAAACAAATTGCCACTGCACTGAGCGCGCGCACTCGAAAACTGTCGCTGGCGGGCGAAATTGTCGCCGAATTCTGCGCGAGTCTCCCCGGTCCTCCGTGGTCGCTATGGTTACGGCATGAGTCGGACACCGACTAGACACTGTTACCAACAGGTTTTTAGTCATATTGTATCACTGATGAAGGAAAACATTACGGGAGAGAAGTTACAGTGGAGATGAAGCTTGACACGCGTTACTCTCGGTATGATTTTTTCTTCAAAAAACGGTAGGCTGAATTGTTACTCCTCTCACGGAAAACGTCATAACTCGGTCAATTTTTGACCGATTTTGATGATCTTGGTCTTAATCGATAGGTATTGAGTTGATCTTTAAAACGCGCTCAAGAAAAGATCGCTGCAATGATCAGTTCGGAAATTACAGCATCAGTCCACTTCTTTTTGGGACAGCCTATGTAGTTTATGTGCAGTGAATACCAAGAGTCTACGTTACTTGAGCCTTGTCATGCATTTATTCTTATGGGTCTTAGGGCTCATGTCTTAATGCACATTGTTTCGCTTGGCGAAATACGTCCAATTATCGATGTTGATAGAAACATTTACAGGCAAATAAGACACAGAGAAAGTACAGCGATCCCATCGGTGGAAACATGCAGTTGCAATGGACGAAGGAGGTAAGTTATACCAAACCAACGGATATCCACGAGAGACCCTGTAGTCAGTCCATCATTTCCCCCTTAGTCTACAGGAGCCACCCGTTTCAACACATGGAACACCTGCGGCGTTTTCCCTTTTTGGCTTTTTTGTCCATATAAGCTTTGTCCATCAATCCCAATAATCACCCCGCTAATATTATTACAAACATGGTTGGATGATTACGGCCGTCTAGAAAATGTTCATTTTAAATGTATTTTCTCTTGAACTGCAGGTAGTGAGCTTTGGTAAAAAATTGCTCATGATGCAATGGAGGCATTCAGCAGCCTGGACCGCGTGGTGCCCGGCAAGCGACACAGACACAGTGGACGGATTTTTATACTTGAGGGTGAGTTTCACTCGTATCTATAGGTACTCCTTCCGTTAGTCAGATTAAAGGCCCAAAATGGGTAGCATTTAACAGAGGGGAGCCAACGCGATCAAAATGTTGTAAAACTCGTAAGTACATCTCTATCTTCATTCATAAAAATTCTTGGAAAATTAAACAAATTTTGTTTTTAACTAAAATTTGTTCAATTTTCAAGGAAAAGTGACAGTTGAATAGTAATACTTTCATACAATAATTTCGTTAATGTTACTTGTGTAGGTACATGTGATCGGTATTTTTAAATCAAAGACGAAGTTAATTCAGAAATCACGTAAGAAATTAAGTAAGAAATACCATAATTTTGTCGGCTCCTTTCTACTAAATTACATTCAAATGACGCTAATGTGTTGTGTGCCCCCGTGATAGTGAATATGACGTCATTATATACTCTCTACATGTAGTTCTTGAGTTTTAGCGATAATAATTTTTTAGATTAAGCCCAGATAGTATCGATTCTGTAAAGTCTATGAGTCTATGAGGCTAAATCAGTCTATTTTGAAAGTATTCCCTTAACAGCAGTGCTGCCATTTCCCGGAATTAATTTCGAAATTCGGAACTTTTCAAGTAATTGGAACCTATCCCGAAATTTTCAACTATGTTCGCAATCTCATCGAAATTTGCCGTTTTTCGCAAGTTTGACCATTTATTTGATCAAATTTAGGGACTTTCTTATCAAACTTGACGATGTTCGGAACTAAATCCGGGCGTATTTTGGAATTTTTCCCCGGACTTTTTTTGGAACATTGGCAAATCGGAATTATTTCAGAATCTTTTGATAAAATAAAATGCACTGCTTCCCAGTGTGAGAGCACATGCTTCTTCTTGAAATAATGTTCTATCTATTCATTGCCTTTGTCTCTTAGGAAATAACGATCCCTGAGACACCGCAGATCATCACTCTGATTGACTCGTCATTAGCGGCATCAGCTGGAGGCTCAGCCGATAACCATATTTGTATAGGCTATCGTCATCAGTTCGACTTGGTCAACGAGCGGACTGGAGAGGTGAAAAAACTATTCGCTGTTCAAGAAAGCACACGCTCACATCTGGTCGCGGCTGTGGACCTCTACGAAGATGAGGAGCCGGAACTACTCCTTTGCTACAATAGTACGTTATTTGATTAAGGGGCTTGGAGGGCAAGGCGCATAAGTGGAGTTTTTGCTATTTCAAGAAATACGTGTTTAAAGTTCAAAGTTGCATGGAACCTTAAGGCGGACAGGAAGTTTAAACTCACTTTTTGATGCTTTAAAGGTGAATTTTAGTTGTGAATTTTTCACAGAACATAATTTCAAACTAGTTTTAGTTTAGTTCGTGATTATCTCATTTTATTTTCAAAAACTGCACATGTCCTCCAAGCGCTACAATTATCACCTTCGTATTTTGTAAATCATTTATTTTCTTATCGGATTTTTCTTCAGTGTGAAAAAAAACTGAGCGCGTTAACAACATTCCTCTTTTGAGGTTTCGATTCTCGCATTAGATGCGAGCAGTGAGGGGAGGGAGAGAGAGAGAGGGGGGGGGGGAAAGAAGATATTCGTTACACATTAAGATGAAGAAACCGAAATTTTGTGTTACTATGTCTTTGGGTTGGACATTTACAATCTCGTTAAAAAGTAGGCGCAAACTACCAAAATCGAACCTAACTTGCACCGACGCCAAGGGCCGGATCAGCGGTCAGGGGCTCGGGGTGCTGCCGAGCATATTTGCGGATTGCATACCCTCAAAATTGAAGGCATTTCGTCTGCAACGACTTTCTGACCTTTTTACGTTTTTTATAAGTACGGATCAGACAGAAATTGACCCTTGTGTGCGACGGTACTATCCTGGTGCGATAACGTACTGAAATATTTCCTACGCTTGTTAAAAGAGGTCATGCACTTCTAACTTCTCTCTGGTTATGACTTATAGAAATTCAAAACGATTAGAACGATAGGAACGATAGAAAACGATCCCTGGTCATCAAAGTAAACAACACTCTCTAATTGTGCCTATCTTTTCTGTTTCCTCTAGATACCTGTCATTTTCAAAAATTATGTGATGAACGATTTTCCACCGAGTTTGATTTTCATTGGAACTCAATACCCCAAGCTATCGGTAAGTAATTTACTTCCGCCGTTTAATTTTGGCAAACCATATCGACGGTGTAAGTCGGCAATCACATAACTCGTATGCGGTGTCTGAAAATCTCCGCCTCTATTTTATTTTTTTAAAGGAGAAAAAATTTCCATCATTCCTTGAAGTTTATGCAGAATTTAGTTCACGTTCACACAGAGAAGAAAAATCAAGGCAGTTTTAAAGAATTACCGTTGAGTAGTTTTCTGTTTAAAAAATTAAGTATGACAGGAAGTCAGCGACGTCGCAAATCGAGTTATGTGATTGCCGACTTACACCGTCGATATCTAAGAGTACCTATTTAAATACTCACTGCAGATTGCATATCGGTCTGAAAAACCTGGTCCTGGTAAAAATAAATGGACTACATTTTGCAATTTGGAACTATAAATTCCGGCCTAGTTTAAAAACAACGGATGCGCCATTAGTATCCCTATGCACATAAGTGTTTTTTAAGATGAGCCGGAATTTATAGGTCCAAATTGCAAAATGCAGTCCAAATCGTCCTCCGAAGGCGAAAATTGAAAGAAACTATTTCGTCCTTGGAAGGAGATTTATTTTCTCTGAGTGAAAACAGGGAATTGTCAGGGAATCTCATGCAGTAGACTGAAATTTTGAAAACTCTGGAGATTCAAAATCTAAAAAAATACCATCGCTGATCATACAAATAAACTACATGAGACTCAGTCTGGCTCAGTCTAAGTCTGGCATTCGATGCTCTTAGTTACACTCTGAAAACAAATAGGGATTGAGATAAATTCCTAATGAAAAATCGCAATTTTAGTTAATTAAATTATCAATGCCTGAAGAAAAAAGTTCAGGTGTTTCTGTCATTAGCGGTGAAACCGATGCAAAATATTACATGTTATTAGTTCTACTGCCTATGGAATACAACGATATAGAAAATTCAGGGAATCTTTTCCTACCAAGTTCGTTATAGACACTGTGATTATTTTATCCTCCGAGCCTTAGGTAACCGTTGGCAATTTGTAATTTTTTAGTTGGAAAATTATAAATTAGTTCATTAATTCATGGTATTTTTTAATTTCCAGTGTGTGCCTTCCCATACATCCTGGCTTTTACAACGGATTCAATGGAAATTAGACTAATAATCAATGGAAATCTTGTACAAACACTAGCGATGCCAAAACTAACCTTAATCTGCTCCAAGGTATTCCTTTCTACCATTGATATTATCTCCAATGATCAAACCAATTATGTTTTCATCTTTCCTAAACAACGATAATCTCTCCGTCGAAATATTATATTGTAATTCATCTACCTTCTAATACTTCGCTGAAGATTTGCCTCTGAACTCTTCTCGGCATTTGAACTAGCGAACTCTAATATTTTCCATTCTCACTTCATTGGATTGGAGTATGACTGGGACCTTTTGTTTTTTTGTTTTTTTGTTTTAGTAGAGGCAAAGGCTGTGATCAAAAAATCAAAGGGTTCCGCAGTCAATCCATAAGAGCCATTGGAGAAAGGACCCATTATTGAACAAAAAAAAACCAAGAACATTCTACGAAAACTTCAAAGAATGATGTCAATTTGTCCTCCTTTCAAGAAGTCACTTAATGGCGGAGACTTTGGAGAACCGCGAACAAGATACGTGGCGTAGTTGGGTAGTTTTACCGTCAGTATGCTTCATAAAGTAGATTCCGATGGAAAAGAAAACACTTTGAATACATTGATGTTGACCAACACCAGGAAATATCCTTAAAACTATGCGGTTCTACAACAAGTGGGCGACACGAAATTTGCCACGCGTCGTGCATTTCGTGTGGATCCATGAAATTATGTAACGATTGGAATTCATGAAATTGTAATCTCTCCAGATGTGACACTGTGATGGTCTGAAATACAGGAGCTAATCAGAAATGGATTCCTTGCGTTTCTTTTCTCAGTGTAAAGGAATTAGGTTTCTCGTGGGAAAATACTCCCGATGAGAACGAAAAGAATGCCTTCAAAAGAAACAATATGCGACCGCATGGCAGTGGGGTTATAATATTTTCGATAAGGATGTTTTGTGACGGCATTAATGACACGAAAATTGTACCTCTTTTTCAGAATGATATATTTTTCTCAACAACAGCCCCTGAGTTCTTCAGTGGAAAAACCGAGAGACTCCAGGTAGAAACTAAGCTTGACAGGGATCCGAGCTTGTCACCACCGCCTTCTCCTCACTGTAAGTTGATTATTTCTCTCGTCGTCATACACTGAAAAAAGAGATTGGTGGTATTTGCCATTCCTTCGCGCTATAATTCACACAGCGTCAATTCAGAGTTAATTCTACCAGAAAAAAGGTACCTATGCGTTACTATATGTATACTGGTACAGGTCCTCTGGCAGAATCCACTTTGAATTCACGCTGTGTAAAATACAGTGTGAAGGAATGGTAAATTCTACCAATCCTTTTTTTCAGTGTACCCCCCCCCCCCCC